GTTTATTCAATTTATCCCTCGTCCACTGCTTTGAATGGGATTCCTGGTTAATGCTCCGCGATTCCGTGTTTCATTTATAATTCATGATAATGTAAACTAATTATTTTGGAAACTCAAACTTCTACGTGGACCTGAAGCAGCATGTGGAGATCTGTAGACATGTAATAGTCCAGACTAGCTAGAGACATGGAAGACTAATAGGTCCTGGCTGTCTATTAACCTGTCTCCAAATGTTTTCAGATACACTGGTATTGAATGTAAAGGGACCACAGAATAACAACAAGCACTTTATTTGTGAAATTATCAATGCTAAAAGAAATATGTTTCAGATTTTAGAATATTGATTAAGTAGCCCCGGTCAATTTATCGTAATAAATGATAACTCATTCAGCCAATATTTGTTAAGCAATGAAATATATCATTAGTTCATATTCTTCATTGCTGCCGTATATACCATTCCAATATTATCCAACTGTAGCGAGAGAAAAAAAATCAGACAGTAGTTAAGAAATCAAATTGGAGAATAAAATCAAAGTTTGATATTTTCAGAAATTAAACAGAATGGAAAAAATAACAAATTCAATGTAAGTTCCTAGAAAGCATCTTTAAACATACAGTGTATTATTCTTATCTTAAGTATATGGATCTCTTTACTGTTAGAGGTAGATATGCTAAATGCTAGAAGTAGCTATGTTAACTTCTAGAGGTAGCTATGCTAACTGCTAGAGATAGCTGTACTAACTACTAGAGGTAGCTATGTTAACTTCTAGAGGTAGCTATGCTAATTGCTAGAGATATCTGCGCGTACTGTTAGAGATAGCTGTACTAACTGCTAGAGTAGCTATGCTAACTGCTACTTGTACTAACTGCTAGAGATAGTTGTACTAACCGCTAGAGGTAGTTATGTTAACTTCTAGAGGTAGCTATGCTAACTGCTAGAGATAGCTGAACTAACTGCTAGAGTAGCTATGTTAACTGCTAGAAGTACACATGTAGCTATGGAGAAATATGACGTAGTAGTATGCTGTAGTAATTCTTCAAATCACCTTGAGGATTACGTCATCGTTTACCCAGCCTTCCGAATAAATGACCCTATACTTAAACCAAATGCTAGTTCTTGAATCTTTAGCATGGAATTTCCTCAATATTAAACTTAAAAAGTTTTCCACAAAATTATCCTGAAAGTAATAGTTTCTGGAGTTAGAAAGTCTTGTACACGCAATTTGTTTGTTTGTTTTTGTTTTTGTTTTGGTAGAAATTGAATTATGTTAACTGTACAGTTGGTTTTTTTTTCACAAATCTTATGTCTGTTTACTCACGGAAAACATTTCCTATTGGAAATTTTCAGGCAATGGGATTTGAAATAATTTTTAATTCTTAAGTTGGGGCTACGGCCAATCGTTCTTACCAACCTTTTTCTTTTTTTAGTGATTGTACACTTCTCAGCTTCAGTTCTGCATGTGTGCATTTAAAGCCCAGGAAATAGATTCCAAATTAAAACTGTCTACTTAAAACACAGGATAAAGTTTACATACCAGAAATGTTTGGATGTAAGGTTTGCAACAGCATGTGGATTAATGACTCAAGACATGTTCTGGCTAGTCTTTACATTTTTTTTATTTTTAAATATTTTGGGGGATATTGTTTTTGGGAGATAATGGCTTCCAGATTATGAGATAATCAAAATACTGAAACGGTGTTCTGAAAGACGGGGTCAAATTAATAAAGTTCATGATTTTAAAAACTTCGTAACCGTTGAGGATTTTTATACAGTTTTGAATCTTACTTTTAAAAAAGTAGAAATTCAAAATTAAAATGAAATTTAAAACATTGTAACAAATAATTAAATTCATTCTTTATTAGAACCTTATAGCGATGACCGAATTTAACGAGGTTAGAATTAATCTGACATTTCCGGAAGTAAACAAGCGGTTGCGCAGTCTGATATTACGCATCGTGTAGTTTGTTTACATGAATTGAGTTTTAAAACAATGAAATTTTCAAAATGCTTCTCCAATTATCTTTAATTTGTGTAAAAGAAATCTTATTTTAAAATTACTTTCTTTTGTTTGGTTTAGCGTGAATGTCTTATGACCAAAAAAAAAAAAAATGACTGCACTTTTTCCTTTAACGTAGATTTAATTGAGGTGCTGAACGCACGGCTTCCGCTTTTGATTTTGACTAACAGTAACTGAAACTAACAGATGGGGTCACGTGACCAGCCTAAAAATGACATGATCGACTGTTTCCCCTGAAATAGGAATATATTTTATCTATTTTAAATTGAGACTGTTTTTTCTCATTTGTTGAATATTATCTTTGGTTGTCTTTTCCATTCTGACATATAAGATAAAAACAGCTTCTAACTACGATTAATTTAGACATGCTGTGGAATCATTATCGTTTTTGTGGGGACCCTTACCCACGAATAAGCACTACTAAATCTGTCAACGCATCAGGTGATAGAATATTCCTATGAACGAGTTACCCAGAAAATTAAATACCCACGAACCACTCGGCACACCTCGGCCGATTCGTACCTCATCTAACTGTTTGATGAAGGTGACGGAATCAGCCGAGGTTTGCCGAATGACCCACGAACCAGGAAAATTTTGGTTTCTAACGAACATTGACTCCCACGAATTAGAATGATTTCATAGTAACCGTCGTCCATCATACAAATATTCTCTGTAGCTGTTTTTACTGTTGCAAATTATCAAATGAAGTTCCCTTTTCTGATAAATTACTCATTGAAATACTAATTGCCGTCGATTTTTTTCAGTGAAAACATTCCCTGGAGGATTTCTGAGCATTTGTATGACATTCTAGCTCAGGAAACGGTTTACAACGATTAATTGTTTAACATTCCATCTGGGAATTTTTACTCATGTAATGATCCACAAATTGTGACATTACTATTTACCATTGCTGTGATATTTTAACTCGGAGGCGTCTATTTATCCTTTGCCCGATAAATCAGTGACTCCATCGCAGACTGTCGTCTTTTCCAGACTTTCAGTAAACTAGATGGAGTGAAACTTTTTTATTTATTTTGGTACAACATTTCTGTCTAATTCGCCATTATATATGCGTATAGCTCGTCTTAATCCTTTTTATTCGCACTGTAGACGCATGGATTGTAAATCAGTATTGGCCATTTGAACCATGGATACTGTACATATCCCGGTTCCATTGGACACAGTGAGATGGCATATGATATACTGACTTTTAAGAATCTTGTGGCTTTTAGTTATTTGAATATATTATGGCTCATTGCATGGTAATAGAGTATGTTGCACGTCTTTGTCATTTGGGTCTTTATATAACTAATAAGCCAATTGCTTAAGTATATTAAGGTCTTTAATGACCATTGGTTTAGAACTTATTTTGACAAATCCTGAAATTTGTTTGTGTTTTGTGCCTGCGGATTAAGGTAAATTATTTCCCATTGACCCCTAAGATAAAGGTATGTTGTTTTGAATGTCAGTGGGTGTACTTGGTTCAGTTGTATGGACAAATACTGAAAATTTTGTGTATGAAAAGGTGAAACTAACGAACAGTGATCGATCTAAAAAAAAATCTTCAAACAAAACAAATCTATGAACAGGGCATAACACAGACTTCCGGAAATTCCAGAGGTGGGATCAGGTGCCTAGTAGGAGTAAGCATCCCCTGTCAAATGATCAGCATTTTTCTTTGAAGCACCATATTCTTACCACTGCGTTCGTTCATTTGTCGAATTACGTTCAGTTTTCCATTTTCTAATGTAAACAAAAACGATCAAAGAATAAGTATCAGACTAGGAGAGAGATATTCTCGACCCTTCATTAAAATGTTCAGTTATTGAAGGAACTATCAGAAGAGACTGTTGAACAAAAAAATATTAGGAATCGCAGCTTTCGAGGGTTTTTCTTATTGTTTAGGCTTACTACTGTAAACGTACTCATTATAGATGTAATCATATGTTAGCGCCTTTCGAGTTGCTTTTTATCCGATAATTTATGGTAATACATGAGTCAATCTAATGCATATTTGAAAGACATAATTGCAAATTTTAAAATCAGTTGAAGAGGAAAATTGTGCTCAATTATAAATGTTATATTTTATGCACTTCCACATTTTAAACTTCAGAATACTGTCATGCACATCGAAGATTTAATATTGTTCTTAGGTTTTTTTCAATATCCCAAAATAAATAATTGTGGACTTAGGCGATTGGGGTCTTCAGGATTCTATATACTGGTACTGTGTTTGAAAGCGTCAGCGGTCTTCGTCCCGGTTTAATGCCTGGGTTACAATAGAAATTATATCACATCCTTCGTAACGATTTTCTCCCGATGTTTGGAAAGGCAGTGTTATCTAATTCGATAAGAATCTGTTTCACCTTTACTGTGTTTCTAACAGGAGCCATTTTGTCATTAGTCATTTAACAGACAAACATCGAAAATTTTCACGACGGCGTTTCATAACAGTGGTATTAATAATTCACAAGTCTTGATTGTTCATGTGGAAGGTGGCGAATTGTAACAACATAAAAACTGCCTCTTGTTTGAATTCTCGGTGTAAATCTATTGATTATCGAGTGACGAGCTATAATCAGGATAATTTAATATGTTAAAAGAAACGGCTAAACAAGTCTAAAACATATTTATTGTGTTACGGAATCTCAGTCGGCTTAACGCATAACGGTCCGCGCTACGTAACCTAGTCAACTCGATAAATGGTAACTCAGATTCCAAAAAATAATAATAACTAAATATCTTTCAAACTTTTTATTCATGAACTGATAAACACTTTGTGTACTTTTTTTCACTTAGGCATGTTATAAATGGGGTGAAAGAAAGGAATACTATTTGAACACTTTACAAAATTTGAGTAAGCATATTGAGTAAATCTCAGAAATTAAAGCCTGATTTTTATTATATCTTTTTTTCTTGTAGGTTTCGACACTGGATTAAGAGCATCTTTCGACTTTGTTAATCTCAAGGCCTATCCCAGCTCAAGTAATGTCTTCTACAAGAAAAATTCGAAATGGTGTAAAAAAGCGCCCTCATGACGCCGACGCTTAACGCGCAATGTTTGTGCCTCGTGCGCATGTGCACCTCAGTAATCCCGATTCCAAGAGATTATGGTTTTCCCGAAGACCATCCAGACGAAACGTAATACAACGAAAATTGAAATGGTACGAATGTGTGCGCATGCCCTGTTTGATGCCTACTCTGGTAGGAACAGCAATAGGAGTTTTGATTTTAATCAGTGGGGCTCTTATGAGTTTTATCGGATATAATCCCAGTGCGTTTCTAGGGATACCCGAGGAAGACAGATCCAGGCGCTTCAGGAGTAACGTGACCGAAACTACCGCAGTTTCTGTTGAGGGGTTAAAGGTTTTAGCGTACGTGGGGCCAGTGTTTATGGGTGTAGGGTTCTTTGTCATGATCATCGCCGTTGTATTGTACTGTGAAATTAAAGAAAAGTACGTGTGTAACATTCTACCTCAGCACAATGTCAATGTCAAACAAGTCCAAAAGGATGTTTTGTACGACATGATCATCGACGAATTCAGAAAAAATTACTTCAGAGGAATTCAAGTTCCCATCCAGAAACGGACAAAAAGACAGAAGTCGGTGGAGGAAAGATACCCGACTTTGTTTAAAGCTCTTAGCATCAGTACGCCTGCACTTATCATCACACCTGAAATCCAACGGAAGTGGAAGAACAGCTGTGAAGCTTCACCGAACCCGAGTCGATCGCGAAGGAGGAAATATATCTATGACACATGGTTAAAGACTTCGTCACTCCCGAATATTCGCGCACGCACCGGACAACGACAAGCGCTGCGCAACGAAAGACGTGTTCACAGACGGGCGGTTTTTCAGGATCGTCTTTCCAAGAGTTGTGATCACCATGACATGCAAAGTAAATCTGTGGATACGGAGAAAGATGATCGGGGATCGTGTTTTGATAACCCTGCTTATAGGACTTCTCCCCCGCAGGAGAAATTACCCCCACAAATTCAGGTAAGTCCTCCTTCGACTCCTGATGCTCTGGGAGCTGATCTCGCCAACATCTCGGTACACGTTGATTATCACGAGATTCCTAACGGGAAAATTGTTCATTCTGTGTCGTGTGATACAACAGACGACAGTTGTCGAACGTTCTCAAATGATCACATTTCATCCTCGAAAAGTTTTACAAGCGACCTCTCGCGGTCAGATACGCGAGGGTTTACCATGAAGAGGAAATTGTATCCTCAAAGTTGCATTGATCTCTGTGATGAGGACAGCAGTGATAAGCACGTGCTGGTGACACTTGACAATGTGTCCGCTCAGAAAAACCTCCAATGCCAAACTCAGATCAAAACGGGAAGGAAGGGCGTGTTTATCCGCAACAATAAGCCCGGACCGTATAAAACTCTGATAGGGGTCTTTAGGAGCGAGTCATGTTTAGACCGCATTAAAAAATTCACGAAGCCAAACAGCGACAAAGACAACGATTCATTAGATTCCTTCACGCTGACCGAGGATGTCCTTAGAAACTTTGAAATGGCCGAGCTCTCCTAGCTAGAATTTCCTCGGACCTTTTATACGAGTGCGGGACGGTTCGCCCCGAAAGACCATTCGCGCTGAGACGTTTCGCCTCAAGACGGTTCGCGCCGAAGATCAATTAATCAATTATGTGGTAATTATCACTTGTTAACAGCAATTATTAACCTCTTAATAACTTTTGTACTGTGTTATATTAATCCAATCCATTGGTTCAATCAATAAAGCAATTTATATGGGATATACTAAAGACCTGACACTCTGAAGACCTGATTGAGATAATTTTGCCTGTATGGGGAAATATTAATAGATGATGCATACAAAAATACACTTGTAGAGAATAAAAACTGAGAATTTATATCTATATCATACTATATCCCCCCCCCCCCCCCCCCCCATAACCACACTAAAATTAAAAAAAAAATTGTCAGACCTGATTTTTTTTTTTATGAATTCCTGTTACTTAAAAAAAAGAAAAGATATTTCTAAATGACCTGATATTTTTTTTTATGATGTGAGAAAACAGCAACTCGTGATTATTTTAATGACATGATGATTTTTAAAAAAAAAAAAATAATCTACTTTGATGTAACAGGCATTGGAGTCGGTGTGCATCCTAGCTATTGAGCAACGGTAAAATGAACTTGACAACCGTCTCATAATTTAATTCTCCTCTTTATCTTGACATGATGAAGAATCTCCAAATTATAGTTATAACACCTTAATTACAAAACTGAATCAGACAATTATGATTGCTGAATAAATATAATTATATCTGCACATGAATAATTATACATTTAATTATGGTATAAGCCTATTTTCAACAATTTTTAAAACATAAAAGTATTTTAGTAACCTTAGAACATTTTTTTTAACATATTCAATATTAACCTTATATATAAATATTTATCTTAAAACATCGTAATATATTGTTGTAGACAATGTAGATTAAATTCTGCGCGAAACGTCTCGGCGCGAAACGTCTTTTGGGGCGAATGGTCCCGGTGCGAAACGTCACTAGGGGCGAAACGTCCCGTTACCTTTTATACCGAGTAACACATACCAATTCCAGCTCTTACATAGAACCCTTTTATTGGTATAGTGTTATCATTACGGATGCTTCATCGCACAAGAGAAAATTGAATCTCAGTTCATAAAATATGAATTGTTACTCGCTTTACATTGTATGCAATAAAGCAGAAATCAACGATTACCAGCGCAGTTTCCATGATAACCAATTCAATAAATAACGAGTACAGTCGTGCTCTAGTATTATATTCAGAGAGTTGGTAAAATATATATCTTCACACATTATAATAAAGGAATGGTGTCGATGAAGTTTCCCATAATGTCTATATATTACTGTGTTCTGCGTAACTAGTTTCAACAACAAAAAATCCTACACCCAGTTGCAAAACCAAGGAATTCAAAGAAAATTAACGTGTCATATTTATGTATGGACTTTTTGATTATTGATTGTCATTGAAATATTTTTATTGATTAATTATTGATCGTTTCGTATATTTTTGTTTCTCATTTTGAAATGTTCCCCAAGGCCAGAGTTATTGTATTATTCGATTGTTGTGTGTAAAGATAAGATTTTTATATTTGTCCAGTGGTAAAGTATTCAACCTGAAACTAAAACTTTCACCATATTTTAATATAGATATAAGCAATACCAGCTAGAAATAAGAAAAATGCTATGACCTAGTATGGTCCAAAACATGCTTAATGTATTAGCTCACCTGAGCCTTCAGCTCAGGTGAGCTTTTCTGATGGAAATTTGTCCGTTGTCTGTTTACACAATTTCAACTGTTTCTCCAGAACCATTAGGCGAATTTTAACCAGAACTGGCCTTACCTCCTTCTAAAAGGTAATATCAAGAAAAGGCAAATATAGGGTAAGGGTCATTTAAAAGGTGATATTAAGAAAAGGCAAATAGGGTAAGGGTCATTTAAAAATCTTTTCAAGAACCTTCCTTACATAGTGTAGATTCATTTTTGTTCCAAAACATGGCCCCCAGTTATAAGTTTGGGTCACAATAGGGTAAGCTTTACATGGAAATATAAAGGAACTTAAAAAGTTTGTTTTTAGAGTAGCGAATTAATATACAAACATCTCTATTTTTGATGATTCATTTTTTACCTTCAGATTATGGCCCCTGAGATTAAGGTGAGGCTAAGACGTGGAATAAATTTTACCTAACGCATGTATACGGAAACAAATAAAATCTCCAGAATAAAAGACCATGTTAGTTAAACTAGTAATTTTGAAGCTCCTCCATGTTTGGATGTACATGAGTGTTAGAAAATGATCAATCGGAGATAGGGTGGGACCACAATGTGGGGTCAAAAATTTTTCATGTGATAACTATTAAGAAAGAGAATTTTTTTTATAATCTTCAGAAGGACAGCAGGGCCAATGTGACACAGGTGAGCATTTTGGCCGATTGGCCTATTATCTTAAACTCTTTTCCCCTTTAGCAACAACATACGGTCTTATATAAGAAATAGTCTAATTGACTACGATGTATTTACATGTGTCACAGAAGAAAATGCACTAGATGAGAAATACTGTATGCGTACATGTGTGATGCACAAGTTCCCTGTGAAGTAATCAACTATTGCTTAATGAGATTGCATAAGAATTCAATCCCGTCCATTCTATTCTGTTAATCAAATAGCTATATAATTATTCTTGTACATTCGATCCACATATAAAGTTCCAATTCTGAAATGTAGTCATCAAATTAGAATTACCCATTCTTTGCCAGATCTAGACGGAAGCTTTCATATTACTTAATATTTTTAAAAGTGAAATGTTTTCTGCAGCGTACAAGGCAAAGAGTAGTTTTCTATTCACAAAATATAATATTTTTATGAAGCAATTAATTTTCATTAAAAAAGACTTACTGACACATTATCTTATTTTCATACTAATTGTATGTTATTTAATTGTATAAGTGTATTATTTTTCATGTATATGTGCATTGTTCCTCCTAATGTGTGGTTTACAATAATTATAACATGTTTCTGTATTTTATCATACATTTGTAACGAATTTAAAAAAATACCAAATCTGTATAAGATAAGTAAGAAGTATGTCACAATTTCTTTTTTAAACTTTAGCTCGTGTAATATAATGAGGTAAAATTGAATTCATTATATGCTCATTAATCAACAGATTGACAAAAATGAATCGAATGTCATTTTAATTTCAAACTTTCTGCTGTTTATTGTAAAAGACTGGATGATTGTCTTCTCTTTTTATAAAACTTCTTTTGAATTATTACATCCCAGCATCACTTAAGGATAAATAACACAAACAAACTTTTCTTTAGAAATCGGTAATATTTCTCATAAATTTTCATCCAGATAAGTAGCTTGAATAATGTTTACCACATAAACTGGGAGAAATTGTAAGATTTGGTCACAATGTTGAAAATGTGTGCAGAATTTTATACAGAATTACATAGAAAACATCTCTAAGCACCAAACTTACGATTTCTTTACATTTAGGGGTTTATTATTTATGTCATATGTATTCAAAATCAGTCAAAAAATATATATCAATTCATGCATCATTGTTTGTGTTATGTATCCTCAAGGAACCGTTGTATATATAACAAGAATATGTAATTATGTCTGGTAGAAGGTTTTTCAGTAATATATTGCCATCCTCTTTGATCTTACTCTTTCTGTTTTTATCTGTCCAGTTTTATTAAATACATGTATTTGGTTTATAATCTGGCTGTTGTCAATGATTTCTTTTCGATGTTATTTGATGGGATTTTTTTTCTTGATCTTAACTCGCTTTAGATATTGTAATATGCATTTTGTACTTTAAAATGTTAATTGGCATCAGTTGTAAACTTCCAGTCACCGAATTTTGGTAGATGTTCTATTGTATTGCTTTATAGCTCAGTGAACTCCTGTTGTGTCACGTGACGTAAGTTATAAGTTTGAAGCACGATTCCATACAATCACGATTTTATACAACTTTTTTTCATATGTTCCTATTGTTATGTTTCTTTCTTTAAAGAAATAAAAAAATGTCAAGTTTTCTGTCTATCGTATTCACTTTTCTAAAATTAACACAAAAGACTCTGAACCCAATCAAAACTAATTTCCACAGCATGGTTCTACTTTGGGAAATCGACCTTTTTTGTAATCCTTTTCCTATATGTGTACACAATCGATATAGAATGTGCACTTTGGCGGCGCTTTTTAATCTACTTGTTTGCCTTTACTCAAAACCCTAATGAGGATAAACAAATCTTCTCTGTAGTTGTAATTCTGTTAACTAATTTTACTAATTGCCGATAAATCAATTAACGTTTTCAGACGTTCGTTCTGGCCTTTGTCTGAATAAGAATTCGAATTCAACAGAAAAAAAAAAATTGAACCTGCCCCATACAACTAAAATAACTTTTTGTTTATATATCATTTGAATAGATGCTTACTTTATCCTGACAAACATTATTAAATATATTCGATATTGGTGAACATAGTTTTCATTTCTGTCCTTTCATGCCAACTTGTTTATATAATTAACTTAAAAGGGATATTTGTGTTAACAGTACAAAGGCTATACTAGTAGTTGTATTGTTTAATATCGAGCAGTGCTAAAATCATTTTTAAAATATTTCATCAATTTGTGTCACGTAAGAGAATGTCCACAAAGTAAAAAAAAAAAAAAGAAAGAAAGGGAAAAAAAGGTAGTTTGTGCATGGTGTCAAGAATATATAGGGAAATTTATACAAAGACCTAAAATGGCCAACGACATGAACAATAGAAATTGACAATTTTTTGGGACACCAGGACAAAGAAAAGATTAGAAAGTCATAAAAACAAAGGAAATGGAAGAAAAAAAAAACTAGCACTACAACTAAAAAACTTAACCCTGTAGATATTTACAGTTTTACTTAATTTGGAAGAAAAAGCAGTATGATCTGATATAATATCGGACCTCTATGAAATACGCCGTGTCTGTCCGGTTAATCTGGTCAGAGTCGAACGTATCCGCGAAAAAGGGGCAGTGCATT